ATTCTAGAGAATAAACAGGATCCTATATGGATACCATTGTATAAACTATATGGTCGTCAAAATCATATGTAAAAACATCAAAACCTTACAATATATATAGAGACAGCCATAAAATAACTTTATTGCTATACAAATAGGCTTGACTAAGTACCTAATCGAAACATTTAACTTGCAAAGAAGCCTTATTGGAATTTCTAATATATTTTAAGCTAAAACAAAATATAAGTAAAAGGCTTTCAAGCTTAAATCCACTTTGAAATATTCCGTAGTAAATTTAATCCTCTGTGTACAAAATAATATCAAATCTATTTTAAGATTTCCGGTGATAATAAAATTGAAGGGTAGCGATGACAAGTCTTGAAAATGAGTTGATTTGGAACCCATTCCCTCGAAATGTGGTTTGAACATTCGCAAGGTAATAAGGTCGAAATATCCAGATCAATATAGTGTCGAAACGTCATAAATACAAATATTTTCGAATTTAACGACATTTCTGAATATTAATATTACATATTAGCAAGGGCTAAGATTTTTTTTTTAATTTTTTCGATATGGACATTATGTTAGTGTCGTTCAAGTAAATTGTAAACAGAATTTTATCTAATCACATGTTTTATTAAAATCTTTATTCAATTTCTCAGAAATATAAAGCTATCTCTACAAGCTTCCGGCATACAGTCTGCCGGCCCAGTTCTGTTCTTGGTTACTGACTTCCTGCATGAGCGTACAATTCGTGTCCTTACGGATGGTAGCAGTTCACGGTTCATGTCAGTGAATGCCGGCGTTCCCCAGGGCTCCGTCCTATCCCCAACTCTATTTCTGCTGCATATCAGTGATTTAATTCATTGCTATGCAGACGATAGTACAGTGCATAACCCGCATGCCCATCACGGGCAAGCAGCGGCTAAGCAGGCGGTGACCAAGGAGAAACGGGAGAATCTTGTCATTGAACTGAATCAGGCTTTGAACTACATTTCTGAATGGGGTACCAAGAATTTGGTTGAGTTCAATGCTAAGAAAACCCAGGTGTGCGATTTCACGGCAAAAAAACGTCGCCATTCCTTTCATGTCATTCTCTTCAGAGTACAACACTTGGCTAGAGAGCAGTATCACCATGCTCCAGAGCACAGCACTGGAGCTACAGAGCAGTATCACCATGCTCGGTATGGAGATTCTCTGTGACAAAGAATTATATCGAAAGTGTGATAAAAACGGCCTCACGCCTAAACAAAGTGCGGGGTTTTTTCACGCCCGAGCACCTGTGCTTGTTGTATAAGACGCGGGTGCGGTCTTGCGTGGAATATTGCTCGCACCTCTGATGGCTCCGCCTTCGATGCTTTGGATAGGTTACTCATTTCTTTGTCGCACTATCCGTAAATGGAATGTTCTGCCCGCTCACGTGTTCCCTCCCTCCTCCCTCGATGGGCGAGGATGGCTGGTATGGCAGGTAGAACTGCTATATCAGCTATCTTCACGTCTGGACTTCACCTTCATTTAACATCAGGTGGGCTGGAGTTATTTGTGGGACCTATCTATAAAAAATGAATTAAAATTTTATTTCCTTTTATGTCAATTTCAATTAGTCAATTGATAGGCACAAAATCGGAAATATCTATTCGCTTCTCGGGTTTGACCGGTTAGCACCTAACCTTTCCAGGTTTTCTTTATTGAAAAAATATAGATATTGCAATGGTATTATATTGTCAAAGCAACGGATTTGTTCAAAATAATAGCTCTTTTATTTTCTTTTTGCTGTCCGATATTCCAGCAAAGTACGTGACTTTACCACTGAGGTCGGGCCACGGGCCAGGCCACGATATAACTCACCATGTTGGGCCCAGTGCGGATCTATGAGTGCAACCGACTGTGAAGTGAAACTTCTTTTATTAAATAACCTAACATCAGGCGGTGCATAAGGCATAAGGGAATGGAGTAACGCAGGCATCACTCATATATATGTATATATTGTCGTGTGTGACGCTCGTGATGCTCGTATTGCCTTCACCGAGTTACCCTCCAACATTCATGCTCGTCGGGAAGAGCTTCGCAAGTATCCCACACCCACACGCATATATATATATATATATATTGTATGACGCTCGTGACGCATCTCTGTTTCATATTTTCCATTCGATTTTTCCACTTAGACCCCGTACGAAAAGAAATTTCACATCAAAAATCATTAGATGTCAAATTATATACAATTATGTAAATGGGTTGATAGATCTTAAAATAAGATAATTATTGGGTTACTTACTTACTTTAATATAATCACGTTCAATTTTCACTCAAAGGCCGTTATGAAAATCACGCCGACAGTATTAGAAAGCAAAATATCAGCCCACATCTCCGTCTCGGCCGTTCGCAGTTACATTTAAAACCGCTAACTTTCAGAGGTTTACGAGGCGGAACGTTAGTATGCCCATTTTCTTTTTTTAAATCATCAAATTTAATAGTTAATGAGATTTTTTTACTTCACTTTCACTGTAACTGAAAGTGTCTGCGTTTAACGTTTTTCTTCTGGCTCAAAGAGGTTGGTTTTTTGTGTCAAACACACAAAAAACCAAATATATAAGTCTGGATTGTATTCTTGACAAAGAGGCCGTCTTTAGTCAGAGAGTATTACTATTTTCCAAGAAAATACACTCAATAAAAACTGAAACTGGGTCACTGCTATATTTCAAGGACTGGTTTAATTTCTCACTTATTAAAATATTCAATATATATTTTGATGTAATTAAAATTAATTTTAAATCACAGAAAACAAAGTTTTATCGATGCGTTTTCAATGCTCTTGATATATAAGTAGTTTTTGTATATATTTAAAACGTAGTGTTGATATTTTAGGATATTTATCCTAATCCTACCTTACACTTAATCCTTAGGCTTGCAAAGATTGTCTGATACCAAAAGACTTGTCAAAAAGGTACTAACTTAATCATGCAAAAGAATTTGACCATGTGAAACTATTAAGGATTCTCTTAATTTTACTTAAATCATCATCATCAGCCTATTAATGTCCAAACTGCTGGGGCACAGGCCTTCCCTATGGATGGAATAGGAAGATTGGGCCATGACCCACCACGCGGGCCCAGTGCGGATTGGCGGGTGCTAACAACTGCAGATGCAGCCGGGACTAGCGGCTTAACGTGCCTTCCAAAGCACGGAGGAACTCGAGCTAGAAGATTCTTGGTCATCCATCCAATGACCGACCATTGCGAAAGTTACTTAACTTCAACGATCACAGCCAAACACGCTAACCACCCGGGCCATCGAGCTCCTCTAAAATAATATAAAAAGAAAATGATATCGTGTGCAAAATTAAAACCTCTAAAGTAATTCTTCCGCTTAATGGTCTTAGCGTTATTACGGTTTCACAACAGTAACGTAACATAACCGTAGCGCTAACCGCGAATCTTAGTTGCGTGTGCGCAACGCAAGTAGCACGCAGCGATAGGTACTTGCGTTACCAAACCTTAGTTTAATTGTGTTTCATTTTTAGGGTTCGATACATAAAAAACGATTGCTGTTCGTTGCACCTTCTATCAGACAGCTGAATCTCATGAACTGTAAAACCATGTGATTTTGCAGAACTTAGCATAATTTGTCAAGATCTTTGATTTTAAGCGAAAGTTTTATTATATCGCCACGATATTTTTTCGCATGTCGCATTATTTTTGAGGAGCTCGATGGCGCAAGTGGTCAGCGCGTTCGGCTGCAATCGTTGAAGTAAAGCAACTTTCAAAGTGGTCAGTCATTGGATGGGTGGCCAAAAATTAACTATCTCGAGTTCTTCCGTGCTTCGGAAGGCACGTCAAGCCGTTGGTCCCAGCTGCATCTGGCCCGCGTGGTGGGTCATGGCCCAATCTCCCTATTCCATCCATAGGGAAGGCCTGTTCCCCAGCAGTGGGGACATTAATAGGCTGAAGATGATTCAATTATTACAAAAAAAACAGAGTATCAACAAGCATTGGTAGTTCGGTGGTAGAAAGCTCACATGCTACGCGGGCGGCCCGAGTTCGATTCCCAGTCGTGGGAGGGCTTTCTTTTTAATTAATAATTTTTAAATTTTCACTTGCCACCACACCACTTTTAATTTATTTATAGTATGGTAGCCAAATGCCTCTACTCAACATATTGTAAAGTGGTGGTAAATAAATCTGTAAACTTGACAGCATTATCACCTTTTCATTCTCTATAGATATTATATTTGATAGGGGCTTGCTACTTGTAAGCTTGACTGCTGTCAAGCCATGTGAAGTGCTAGCTACAAGTAGACAGCCAAAATGTTTTTAGTATCTGTATAATTTTTGCTGCCGAAACGAAAAAAATAATGAAAACTTTAAGCAAGGATAATCCCTGACAAGAAATCTGATATTTTGTGATGTTTGCTTTGCTGAATTTTTTGACTTTCTGATTAACTTAGCAGAAGTCAATCACAACGAGTTATTGTTGCAAATTGGGAAAGGAACCTTATGGAGCAATGAGGGCTGTCGTTTTTTGTCTCACCAGATGGCGCCACTGTTGAGTGAGGTCCTGAAGTGTAACTTTTAAAGTTAGTAAACACGCTCGTGATATCAAAGTTTACATTTTAATACAAAAGAATCGTATCTTAAACATAATCGCCCATGCCACATTAGCTCCTCTTTTAAATAACTGACAATCATTGACACGTAACTCATATTTGCCATAATAAGTCTGATTTATTACCAAATATTCACAACTATTATTTTAATTAGAAAAAAACCGCGTAGTCAACCCGCAAGCTATAACATTTGACATTTCGGAGACCTCACGCAACACAAGCGCCTCTAGCGGCGGTTTCAGACGCGATAGCCCCCATTACATTTGGTCTTTAGCCCGTATTCAGGTGCACCAAAGACAAATTCGGGCACCCGAATTTGTAAACACGGACAAACAACCTTGCACCGGCGTTCTAATTGGAACGAAACGAATACGGGCGTACTCGACTCCGTTCATTTACACTTAGTCCGAATACCATGTGCACTCTTATTCGGATATTCAATAGTGAGTAACATTGTGACCACAATGTGAAGGGTGACTCATACGATTGGTATCTAATCATTGCAGTACTTTAGATAACACAGGATTTGTTTCCCCATTTCCTAGAATTTATCAATTTTGCTGAAAACGTATTTTATCAGATAAAATTAAAAATTATCAGTAATTTTTAGCTGCATATGCTGCATATTTTTTTCATTTCGTACCTTTTTTCTAAAACAATATAATCGTAATTTGTTTGATGAAAATTTTCATAATGATACCTGCATAAAGTTATAATCTATAGGCTGAAAATACTACATTTCGATTACAACTTTAGCCTCATTATTGTCACAGTCATACTTAAAACTTGCAAATAAAAGTGTGATTACAAAATACTGCAGTCCTCCAAATAAAGTACATTATGTGCAATGACGTTACGTCTATTATTAAGTATATTCTTAAAAAAAACAACACTGACACCAATTAGCCTAGCCCCAAAATAAGCACTGTAGGGTTTGTGTGATGGGATGCTAGGGTAACGGATGGAATACATTATACAGTACATATATTCCCTTTGATGGAAGATTGAGATTGGGACGTGTCCCAGTGCGGATTGGTCCGTACTGGCATGATATTGAATCAATATTGATCGATGTTTTTTTCTTCTTTACAGAACCGGCATCCAAGATGTCTCTCGAACAGCCAGCCGGTGAGATGTACCAGAAGATCAGGGAGGAGTTGAATGAGAAGGCGGAGACCAGGGACCAGGACCTCGCCATCATCAAGGAATGGCTGAAGCAGGAGCCCCATTTGCCTGATGAATTCGGTAAGTCTAAGTATGTTTAATTTGTGGATATCTAGATTATATCTACTAACAGGCGACTGAGTCTCAGTGGTTTAATTGGATTATTATACGAACTTCCACTCCAATTTCACCCTTTAAAGGATGATTTTTGGGATAAAAGCTATCCTTTGTTCTTTCGCGGGTCTCGAACTCTATACCAAAATTGTTGTACCAAATTTAATAAGAATTGGTTCAGTGATTAAAGCGTTAAGAGGTAACAGACAGACAGACATAAGTTTGCATTTATAACAGTAGTATGGATAGGCTAGAATGTGGAACGGTCTCCCTGCGTAGGCCGCCATAACTTTTGAAGTCTATTCTTTAAGTTAAGACGAAAGTAAATACGCAGTAACTGTCTGTGCATACAACATCTTATTCTCCATTCTCGATTTCTACCAGGTGAAATAAGACACAAACAACAACAAACAAACAAAAATATATTATAACAATCTTTGAACAATATCTGAAATTATCAACTCAGCTCAAGTGAGCAGCTCAGATGACTGCAGTCCGTTGATTTTTAACAAAGGTGACAATGAAATAGAATAACCTTGTCTTTATTGTTCTTATGCCTATCAGCAGTAGGTAGCTTATAATAAGGTTTAAATAACAAATGAAGCTTAAGTGGGTCACCCAGGCTAATCAAGAACGCGCTTGTTTACAACTATCTTAAAATTAGAAAGATTCGTAAGGAAAGATTCGTGCAAATTTTTGAGGATATTTAGTCAACAAAAATATTTACCATCAACATGAAAACGTCATTGTTTGAGGAAGACACTCTGAGTTACCCATCTCTGATCCGACCGATACCGATCTCTGAGTTACAAGATCTTTGAGTTACCCATTTAGGGAAGGGGAAGTAAGTACAGCTTATATAAAATGTCACCTACATAACGTAAATGAAAATGTAATAATACAGAAAGAAAGCCTCTACCATCTTTCTTCTGACAAAGAAGAGCTTAAATAAAACTAAGCTGAAGTCTAATTTATCTGTACTTGTTTTCCAGATGACCAGCGCATCATGACCTTCCTCCGAGGCTGCAAGTTCTCCCTGGAGAAGACCAAGCGTAAGCTGGACATGTACTTCACCATGAGGACAGCCGTCCCGGAGTTCTTCAACGACCGTGACGTCACACGGCCCGAACTTCAGGAAATCCTAAACATTGTGTAAGTTTATTTTGTTATGTTTTCACGCATACTAAGCATTAATTAATACCACTATTAATGAGTTTAAATTACTTGTTGCTCGTTCTTATCTTTGTAAGTTGCTTATAGCGTAACAATCGTTGTTAAAGATGGCTGTAACAAAAACCCCAAAACCTTTTTATGTTTAATTTTTTAATAGAATTATTGAATATTTAGTGAAAAGTTAAATAATATATCTTACCGGTAATTTGTATAATCTGACATTTTACACAATACCTAGGCCATATATATTATGCCTAAACCGTCAAAGCAATGTATGAAATATTATTTATTTAATACTTTGCCTAAGTATTATACACATGATATACGGAGCCGAATGCGCAGACACCGCAAGATCGGGTGGTTTTATCTCCTAAACATTATTTTCGAGAAACTAAAAATACTATTATCGACAAAACCTCCGCACGGTTTCCGCAAGAGCATCCGCGCTGCCACGCGGCACCGCTCTTTAACCTAACTCTAATGAAAACGATACTAAGCTGAGAAGCATTATTACATACATAGATTAAGACACCTTTAAAGCTTTAAGTGCGAGTTTAAAATTTACTTTACAAAGTATGTTATGATTAAAGTTATTATTACAAACTTTATAATGCTACAGTGGAATTATCACTCTTGCCATTCATTTTCAAATTGTTTTAGTATAAAATTCAGTGTTTTATCTTTGCGAATTCATGTAGATATTTGTAGTATGCGTATCGGGATGGCTATAACATAATCAAATAATCCAGCTTTGAGAGCATATTACGGCTGGCTCCATCAAGTCCCTTTGACTTATTTAGGCAAAATAATTCGATGAAAAGGACCTATTAACGGAGAGATATTCTGAAATTTCAAACACACTCATACAGTTATTGAGTTTCGTTCTAATCTTACATGAAAATGCGTTCATGTTTATTAATGTAAATGTAATTATGTTTATATATTTGTATCTTAGACCACTACAATTAATGTTTTACTGTTTAATAAATCGATGATAATTATGATATGATAGGAAAGATGGTATAGCTTGAACTCAATTCTGAGAAAATAAAAATTTGATTCGATGTATCGTAAACTTTGTCGTGTAAATACAGCAATAACATTTTGAAAGTACTTATAGGGTAGACGTCAATGACGGTCACGATAGAACGAAAGCATAATTTCTTGCAAATGAAAAAATGAAAAACTGCTTCACATGAGTAAAGGGACCTATCAATTCTGATTTCATCTGATTAGTTTATTCTATAAAATGGTTGTTTTTTGTTCCAGGCAAATGCCCCCTTTGCCTGGTTTAACTCCCGAGGGACGTCGAGTGATAGTCATGAGAGGTAAGTATCTTATGTTATCAAAATACTGCTTAGAAATGAATCTATCAATAAATGGTAATGAATCAAGATTAGATATGAATCTTGAGAATACTTCAGTGTCATTCTCCGAGCATTTGATGTATTGTTCGTTGAGTATACGCTTATTATTTCTATACACAAGCATTCAACATCAAAAACTGTAGCTGATCAGGAATATATATAACCACATCAGTCTATAAAGGTGTTCATAGAAATTAAAATAATAAGACAACAAAAGTGAAAAACCGTGGCTCATCCTTTCCTTAATAAAATAACAGTTCTCTTTCAATTCAAATAGATCAAGTTTGAACCTCCAATAACAGTTACTTTATTTAGCGGCAAACGTCCTTAAGATAATTAAAGAGAATGCTGGCTTGGTAATATAGCGTTCTGACAATATTTTGTTTCTGTAAGCCCGTACTTAACCCAAGTATATGTAAAGTGAGGTAACTATTTAAATTAAACCTATTAAAATTAGTACTTAATCCTTATAATCTTATATATTATATTCAGTGACTGAAAACACTCATATTAACCTTTTTTTGCACAGTAGCAATATCATTTTAATTTAGTTGCCTCAACGTGAAGCTTTATTTAGATTATGGTACAACTTAAATCCAGATAGAAGTTTATTTGTAAAATAACTGGGCGTGAAAGACAATGTGAATAAATCAGTTGTCAATTTACTGAAAGGAAAGATAAAGGCGCTTTTCGTCTGGCTCGTACTAAGCTTTTATAATCCTTGGGTATTCAAATTCAAATATTTTATTTGCATATTAATGGCTAAAACATTGAGGATTCAAATATTAGGTATTGTTCTCCGAAACTGCTAATTTACTTGCCTTAGCAAATATTTAATACCTCGATATCATCTGTGCTTGATAATGTTTCCCCTTACAGTCTTTCATTATTTATGTATTTCACCCCTATCAAGTTTTGTTTTTACTCCCTTTATCTAATTTTAACTACGAGCTGTCATAGGAAAGTAAAACTTAAAATTGGCGAACTAACTTTCCATATTTATATTTTCAGGTCTCGATAAAGACATTCAAACTCCCAACGTGGCGGACGCTTTCAAACTGGCGCTAATGCTGGGTGATGTAAGACTGGTAGAAGAGAAGGAAGGCGTAGCAGGAGACGTGTACATCCTAGACGCGTCAGTAGCCACACCCACCCACTTCGCCAAATTCACCCCAACACTCGTCAAGAAGTTCCTAGTTTGCGTACAGGTAAAGAATTATCATCATTTTTCTTCTTAATTTTAGCATTTTTGATGACTATTTTGTGCCGGTTTTGAATCACTCCAGCTCAGTTTCATAAAAAATTTAGTCAGTGGGTTAAAGTACGGCCTCTTATCTTTACAATTCCCCGTTATTGCACCAACATTACCAATGACAGAAAATTTGAGAGGTGATTGGCTGTCATGGTATAAATTTCCCTTTGAATTCCCAGCTTTTGCACCACTACCAGTGAGAGAAGCAATGAAAGGTTACTAGCTGTCAAGGTGCAGAAATGTAATCAGATGAAATGAGGGGCATGAGATAAAGGGAGAGATGAAAATGAATATAGACAAGTCAAAACAGAACAAAAGATGGATCGACTTTTTGAAAGATGATCTGACAAAGAAGGGGTTGAATGTTGAGATGGGGTTGATAACAAAGAATAAAAAATTAAAACGTATTGCGCTGAATACGAAAAATTGGCAACTGTGTAGAAGAATGATAATCTGTTGGATCATGTTGTTGATATAGAATAGGATGTAAGTAAAAGAAATTATGTTTATTTACATTAACCTTTCTTTCCAACAGGAAGCCTACCCAGTGAAACTGAAGGAGGTGCATGTGATCAACGTATCCCCACTGGTCGACAAAATCGTCAACTTCGTGAAACCTTTCATTAAGGACAAGATCAAGGAAAGAGTGAGTAGAGTTGTTTTAATCTTGTATGAAATTGAAAAAAAAAACCTATTTGGCATCGCTATTCCACGCTTCAACTTGAGCGAAAAAATGGATTAGCTATGATTTCAGTGCAGATAGTGAAACTTCACCAATTTTATAAAGATAATTTAATTGCGATGCTCAACAGGTTCCATAATGTACATTTTATCTGTTTAAAATTACCACTTTGGATCTTCATTATGGTCTGAAATAAATGTTGAATATTTGTTTCTTAGGTTTTCACGCACATCACTCATTTAATAAAACATATAATAAATTCAGTGCATATGACCTGTAAAAAATTACAGGTCATATGCACTGAATTTATTTATTTGTTGACCCGTCGCATCCTTTTCAGGAATGCATCATCGGAATCATCTTCTGATACATATAACCTGTAAAGAACTGTTTTGTTAAATGTTGAATATTACTAATAAAACCTATCATACAAGCAGCCAATTAAAACAAATTATAATTTTTTGAGTAATTGATTGTAACTGATTGTATAATTTTCTACTTATTGGAACATCCAGATACTATTCGCACTGGATCACAACAAACATATTTTAAGCCACCTATCCTTTAAGCGGCCATTACTTCAAACGAGGAACCCTCACATACTATTTACACTCGAACACAAGTCTAAATGTTTTGACCTACCTCTCCAAATAGCGGTCATCACTTGAGACGCTTAAAATCCATAATCACAAGATAATAATTCTGTTAATTTCATTCCTAGATCTTCCTCCATACTGACACAAATGATCTCTACAAATACGTCCCTAAGGAGATGCTTCCAACTGAATACGGTGGCAATGCTGGCTCCATGAACGATCTACACAGTAAGTATAAATAATAATAATATAATATTTATTACATACAACACAGGGCACAAAATATCATTGAAATGAAAAACACAAGAAAAAATATAGAATAAATTCCTAATTGGCATATTAAATGTTACAATAGGGATTATGACAAAGTAAAGTGAACGAGATTCCATATAGTACGTCTGTAAAATTATTAATAAAATTAAGGACACAAATTTTTGTTTGTCAATCAACTATGAAAATACAAAGATAAGCAAAGCGCATCAAAGTGTGGAAGTGGAGCTCGTGACGTCACTTCTAAGTAAAAATTGTACCAAGAAGTGATGTCATGCGACATTTCAAATCAATATATCGTTGAATTGTTTTGATTATATGAATAAAGAATAAATACTTCTTGATAATCCACCCGTTAGATGCTATTTTAACTTAACATGACCTCACAAAGGTTTAGCGATAACCTTTATAGAAATACCAAATTATTTTAGATGGATTTAATAGATCATTGGGTAGTAATCGTTAGAAAAACAATACCAACAGGCTGTCAATATGTCATGGCCTGCAAATAGATTTTAAAGTTTATTATTTCGCAAACGGATTCCTAAATCGAAAAATAGTCATAGAAACCCCTAATAAATTTTACTAGACCTATTTAACGAGATGTCGTTTAACCCATCGTGTGGCATCCCACACGATGGGTTAAGAAAAGTTGAAAAATGTTAGACGATGAAATAAATCATCCCTAGGTTACATGTAGGGGACCAACCCTAAAAATATATTATTCAAAATTTTATTCTACCATTTTGTCATCACCACAAAATTACAGCTTTCTAGTGCTAACAGTCTCCAAGCAAAACCGGGGACGAACATGACGAAACTATAAGTGTTCCTTTTCAGGACTACGGAACCCTAAAAATCGGATGTTAATTACTTTTTCCATACATTTTGTTAAACTTAAATATCCACTAGAAACAAGAGAAAATCGAGCGATATACTTTTTATGTTGAAAGAGTGGCAAACAAGAGAATGGCCCGCTTGATAGTAAACGGCCACCATAGCCTATAGAAAATATCACTCTCATCGTTGCTTATCCTGACTCAATCACTACCCCGTGAAACCTTGGAACCTTACTCATCGAAAAAACACAACACTACCAAAAGGTAGTGTTATTTTACTTTGGTCCTCTGTGAGGTGGAGGTTACTTCCCCAGACTGGCGCTCCAATTCGAGCGGGAAATCCACTGTACCCTTCTCTTATACTGGGACTTATAAAACTATATAATATGAAGTTAGAAATCGTTTGGAGCTCACTGTTTCTGATCTGCAGCACCTCGGTAGTTATTTTCAAGGCGCTAAATGGACACAGTCGTATTTGCAACAAAGTAAAAACAAACATAAATTCAATTGTAATATTTTTTTTACTTCAATTACATTTACAATGTCTTGTTGTCTATTATTGAGGGCTTTTAAATAACAAGTTGGTTTTGCAATTTAAATAATATGTTAGAATCACGGTAAAATTTATGGATGAAGTAAAGTACCTACTTAAGTATAGGTATTTTATTGTAATGAAAATCTTGGCGATAAAAGTTTTTCTGAACTTAAAAAACATCAATTTTTATTAGAGTTTATGAAGTGTCACGAAGTAATTAATGAAAAGACTCGAAAAAAAATATATCTCTGAAAAATGCTGCCTTAGAACAAAAAATGAATTCTATTGAATAAAGCATTATGTATAAATACCTAGAAATACATGGCATACAAGAACAAGATGAGGAAGATATTAAGTCCTTAACTAATTCTATTTGTTTGAAGTTAAAGCAGCCGGCGGAAGACATAACTAGGACTTACAGAAAGAAAATAAACAAAACTAAAAATACTAAAACAACCCGGCATTCGCCTACTGTAGTTGTCTTAGCAAATAGCACCGAAGATAAATGGCTGGTTGCGGCGAAAACCACCAAAACCAATGCCGTTGACATAGGGCTTAAAAATGATTTACAAGTGTATTCTCATGCATCACCTACTCCAAGTAACGCATTCTTATTGTGGAAAGCCACAACTGCTCTCAGAAAAACGGGTCTGTACAAATATGTATAACCGGTAATAACTGATAACAGACAGGACGGCAATATCGAATTATATTGAAATCAATAACGTGATGTTGACTGGAGTCCGGCTCTTACTTTTAAAGATACTAACCAGATTAAAAACTTTATTTTATGCACTTTTAGTAAAATATATGATGAATGTAAGTATAAATGTAAGTTAATTGTAAACAAGTGAACTCATGTAAATGGGTTAATGATAAAATGAAACATATGTGTTCTAAGAAAGGATGAATTGCTTAAAATGTAGATGAGTGATATGAGTTATAAAGGGAATAAATTACTATACAATAAGTATAGGAATAAAACCAATAAATATATAAATTACTTGAGAAATAAAAGTATAAAATCAGATGTGACCGAAATTTTCAGTAACCCTAAACAGTTGTGGGCGATGATTAATAAAATATGTGGTAAATTAACGATTTCAATTAATGAATAATAATATTAGGAAACTTACGAGAACATAATTTAGAAATTATAGTCAACAACTTCTCTAAAGAATTTCAAGCAAAGGTTTTCCTGTAATAAACCTTTCTTAGATGATAAATTATACATTAATATCCCACATGTGTCTATTTGATTACAGAAAGCAAGCAATGACGTAATAACGACAATAATTAAGCAATTAAATGAAAAAAGCCAGTTATTGACGGAATTCCTACCTCTGATTTATACATAAGTAAACAAATAACTCAAATAATTATTCGTTTAATTAATGCCTTTATAAATATAAATCTATTTACCCAGACGAATTCATGATTGGTATGAAAAGGCCTATACATAAAAAAGGTACATACACAAACATAACTAACTATAGACCGATTACGATTCTATACTCAATAGACAAAATTATAGAAAAATATTTGGGTTTTCATACAAATATTTTTTTTATACAGAATAATATAATACATGATATACAATATGGCTTTAAATAAAATGTAAATACTTGTAAATTGTTACGTCCGTTTACAAAGGAGGTGAATGCTTACTTAAACGATTAAAAACATGCCATTGCCGTCTTTGTAGACTTCAGTAAAGCTTTTGAAACTTTAAGTTTTAACACAGTATATACAAAGCTTTCGCAGAATGGTGTACAGGATCCTCTCTTAGATCTTATAAAAAGTTATCATCAAATCGGAAAACAACTGTCAAAATCCATATTAGGCCCGACCGAGTATCTTTTGTATAACAATGATATGTGTCATATATTTAGGGAGAGTTTGCCGATGACACTTGTTTACTGACGGCAGATAGGAATATATCGAGGGCACAAGACATCATGCAAACGAACTTTGATCTTCTATGTAAATGGGCGCACGACATCGGCTTAGTTAAACATTGAGAGAAAATTAAATACATACACATTCACTCTCCCTACGTTAAATATTTGAAACAGCCAACTATTTCTGCTCATACCCATTAATGCCTACATTATCGTTTGGCAACTGAATTTAAATACTACTTGTGTAATTACCAAAAATTAGAATTTGTTTCCCAACATACATAAAGATAAAAAAAAAACTGAAAACCTCATATAGATTATGTATGTCAGAAATTGCGGGCTGTTGTTTCCAAACTTTCATTACTGAAATATAAATTTCCATACAAAATGCACTTGCAGACTCAATTACAGGATATGGTCTTAATAGTTATGACAGAACATATGAAACGTATAAAGATTTTATCTACAAGTTGCAATTAAGATTATTGAAAATAATTGTACTCACTCTATTAAAAATAAATGTAGTGGCAATTATAATTATATATTTGAGTATTGTAAAATATTAGATGTCCACGATAAAATTAAAATTTTCATTTGTTCAACCTGTATTTATAGATGTTAAAAAATAAATAAAACCAAGAATAAGATACACTAGTTCAACACTAAAAATCGCATGTATAATAGCGTAACTGAAGAGAAAAAATTCAAATGTAACTTTTCTTCCAGACGCGTGGGTGAAGAAACTAGAAGAATACAAAGACTGGTTCGCGGAACAGGAGAACATTAAGGCCAACGAGGCCCTCAGGCCTGGCAAGCCTACCAACTACGACGAACTGTTCGGCATCGATGGATCTTTCCGTCAATTAGTCATAGACTAAAAATTTAGGTTAGCAACATGATCTGGACGCGACCAAAGAAGGCATTAAACAAACGACGCTCAGAAAAAAAGAAAACACGATTAAAAAAAAGTTTTCAAATAATTTTCGTAACACTTCCAATTTTAAAATCCTTAAAATCGTTCAAATAGAAATTATGATGTGTCAAAGAATATTATAACCAATGATCTCATGAATAAATTCAGTACTCCAATTTCCTAATAAAAGATCTTTTTGGTTGCTGTCCACATCTTGTATGTAAGTATTAATAATTAGCATCTCTCTACTATCGCTTAACTTTAAATTACCGTTGTGTTTTTTGTGTACAACCAAATGTTTCATTGTCAACCAAAGTTATTGCTCAATTTAGTGTTTATTGTGTTGATAAAAAGAGCGAATTCGAAGCTCCTATTTTGAATCTGTTAAATATATTGTCTTGAATAAACATTATCTTTTTTTTAAAGTTTTTGTGTTTTAATGCAGATCCTCAATTGTAAAATTCCATCTCTACACTCTTCTTCTTCTATACAATGGCTTTATGTTTTTTTTTTCAGGTTTTTAACCAATTTCGAGGAGCCTGATGGCGCTGGTAGTTAACGCGTTCGGCTGCGATCGTTGAAGTTAAGCAACTTTCGCAGTGGTCGGTCATTGGATGGGTGACCAAAAATTTACTATCTGGAGCTCCTCCGTGCTTCAGAAGGCACGTTAAGCCGTTGGTCCCGGCTGCATCTGCAGTCGTTAGCACCCACCAATCCGCACTGGGCCCGCGCGGTGGGTCATGGCCCAATCTCCCTATTCTATCCATAGGGAAGGCCTGTGCCCCAGCAGTGGGGACATTAATAGGCTCATGGTGATGATGATGATTCCGCAGGAGTTCTCCGAGCATCAGATTCCATGAACACCTTAGCGTTGTTTACGTGCTGAATAATATCAAAAACTTTGTCATTTGTACACGGCTTACTGCTCCTATTTGTAAATCGTATTTATTTTTAAATTCGCAACAGTAAATTATCTCTTTAAAACAATTCTTTTTTGTGAAAAGTCCATTCAACACGTAGAATTTGCACTGTTTTTAATATTTTTCTTTGTCATAAAACTACTACTCGATGCCATTTTTCTTTTTTAGTTAAATGCGCCACGTTTGGTAAGGAAAAGAACTAGATACTTCAATTTGCCGCGGCATTTTGTAAACGCCGATTGGATTGTCTATCAAATGTTGTGGCATATTATAAAGTGATAAGACAATTAATATTTTGCCTTCTGTATATTTTAAAAGAGCGAGCGTTTTTAAACGGACAACACCGTTTATAAAATGCGGTATCATATAAATGCCCTGTGCCACATAGATTCAAGTATTAAACATTTGAAAGAAGAAATAGCAATTATAGTTATAATTTTTATTTTTTAAGCATGTAACTGCTCGATGTTAAAATCTAAAGAAAATATTACTAGAAAAACAAAATCACGGGGCCCAGACAGCAATTTATAATAAACAAAATTGGCAATATTTGGTAGCAACCTAAATATTAGACAGCAACCTTATTTAAAAGTTGACATACATGTATCTGACTCCATGTGTTGTTAATATTACATTAAATATAGGCAGAGACTACGTAAAAAAGGATAAGCTGATTATTCTCATAATCTTCAGTGATTTTTTGAAAAATAGTAGTTATAAACTTTTTATTTTTATTATACAAATACTTGAGCATAATTATCTATTTTATATTTCATTGAAAACAAATCCATTATAATACGTACTGTTAGGTATTTAGGATTTTCAATGTATATGTACAAACAACGTTAAAAAATCACAAATGGATTGAAAACGTCCTCCTTTTAGAAGTCCTAAAAAAGGTTTTATTTGAAGGCGCTTAACACGTTTCTAAAGTTTTGAATTTATAATATGGCTTAAGCGTTTATACTGGCAAAGTTCAATGCACTTTTGATCGTACGGTGAACTATTTGCAGTGCTTTCGTAATCACAAATTAATTAGTTCATGTTCCGAAGGAAAACATGTTAACTTTCAAATTTCTATAAGCCTACTATAATTTTGTCCAGTCTAGTAGATAATTTGTGAATAATAATTTATCTTGCAATGAAGTAAATCAAATTTACCTAATGCATTTCGAAAATTTAGGGCAGCAGTATCTTAACGTGTCGCCTATTTTCTTATTTTAATAGTCAATAGAGTTCTAAGTGCAATAAAAAAAATCATATTCAAACCATCTAATCTAATTATGAACAAACAAGTCGCTTCAATGACCATCGAAACACTCAATAAACCAATTACAATAGCTATGAACAATTGTAAGATGTTGCACAAGTAACAAGTAGAGCATAGAGCTATAATTTGTAAAAGTCGATAAAAAGTGGTAAGGCATGCATAACAACTGTATCATATAAAAGGAAAAAAAAAATATTTCTGTCAAGTAACTATTTAACTCATCTAGGGTTCAGAGGTCCTACTACAATATAACTGCTATTAGTATTATTGACATAATTTATTTAGACACACGCTCTTAAATATAAGCATTTAGTTTATATCTTTTGATGTTCAAGAAACTTTGATAATCAATTATCACCAGCGAAATTATTGCCGACTTGGAAACACTTAAGACCTTCTAGAAAAGAGCATATTTTAAGTTGCATAAGCTGATAATGCATTTTGACTCTACTTATGTTTCACATAGATGGTGATGTTCATTTTCTATGTGATAAGTCACATAAATGTTCAAAATTACAGAAGTCCACTGTTGGTCTAACAAATAACTTAGTTCTTTTCCTCAATAATTTCTCCTTAAAAACTAGAGATAAAACAACCAAGACTCTTAATTTCGACATTCGTTATGACATTACGATCGTGAAAATCAAGCGACTAACACTTGGGTAACACTCTAAATTCAATCGAGTTATATCATTCAATTCAATTGTTGTTATGCTGCATAATGTTTAACCCGCGATTACTCGAAAGGTACCCATGAATCCTAAAGGGATCGCATTTTTTTCTTTAGAGCGAATCACTGGAGAAAATATTGCTACTAAAGACCCTTGGACTCAATGTCACCAATATTTTTGATATTGGTGACATTGACACGTCGTTTATCCTGTCTGATCCCATCCCCTATCTCAAACCAAACAAGCGACTAATATAAAAGTATTGAACCGTGTTTAATGCTACCTTCTTCTGATGAAGGATACTTCACCAGTTCTCAATTAGAGAATATGTGCTATAAGTTCCAGTTTAATCGATTGCGTAAATTCATTTATTCATGTATTTTGGAACGAAGTTCCTTTTCGAACGGTATGGCGGATGGGGGCTAGGAGGAAATTTACCGTCACAATCTAGCGAGGCAGCTAGCTATGCAACTACTATATTGGTGAGGTAACTAGCTAGGCAGCTGGGAGGTTAGCTAGATGAGCGAACACTGACGAAGTAGCTAGGTAGGCGACCACTGACGGCCGTGATTGTGTACTTGGTTTAAAGTTTTGTTTTGTGATTGATGGACCGGTATCGTGTGCGATGGACTGGAAGCGGTGATGATGGACCGGGGTGCCCGCATTGGGCCCATTCCACACTGGGTCCAGTGCGGATAAGTATGTAGGATACTCTTTTCAATGGAATAGAGAGATTGGGCCATGACTCGCCACGTAGATCCAGTCCTGGTATAAAAACTATTTTTAACTTCGTTCCAACAGAGTGTTCCACGAACATCCACGAACACTTCGCAATTTTTTTATCATCAACGCCATAGTAGTACTAGCAGTACGCTCTGTATTTCAACAGATACTGGTTCACATTTACGTAAAGAAAACGAATAAGATTCTATAGGTAAAAAACACTGCGTACAAACACAAAAAGTGCTACAAAGTCCCTCTTACTTTTTATCTTTACAAAAGTAACGTAGAAGCATGGTGTAGTAATGCATCTATGTAACGGCAGTGGTTTCAAGTTCCTCCGCCTCGAGCTTGGGCTTTGGACATATTTTTGTTAGTCATTGACCCATTCTCGTATCACCATGATATAGCAAATTAGGGTCCCTCGAGACGCAAAGATGGTAATGACCTTCGTAAGAGCGGGTAAAAGTTAAAGCCTTCATGTTTAGCATTTACTGAAACAAACATACACTGTAACTTACAACCGATTTTAATTTAAAATGCATTACTTACTTCCATTATGCTATGCACTACTTTTATTCATAATCAATTTGCATAGCAGAAGAAAGAAATAAGCTTATGCTCATATGCCAATTTATTACATTTCAATCTTCAAAATTTACGAAGTCTCGACCTATTATTTTTTCCAAACATTTATAAATTTATAATACATACCAATATTTTTTTATGCGTCATCAACTTATCAACGTCCCCACTGCTGCGACACAGACTCTCTCATTGATTGATGGTTATGGTAACGCCCGCAGCGTTACAGCCTCTTTGCTTGTCTAGTGCCTACGGCTGGCATAAATATTAAAAACTATAAGATACATTTAAAATATAGAATTTGGTTGCCTTTTGTCTAAATTCGATGGATGGCAGAATGAAAACGGTTGTAGATATAAAAACATTGTGATAATAATGTTATAATTCTCTGAAATACAATATATTGTATTGTCCTATAAGGACGTAATAAGTGTTTTTCATTAGATAAAAGTAATTGAGCTACGTTACCCAGGACTCTTCTTAAGTCTTACAGTACTAACGACTGCAGATGCAGCCGGGACCAACGGCTTAACGTGCCTTGCGAAGCACGGACAAGATTTAGACAGTAAGTTTTAAGTCACAATCCAATGACAGGGCGTTGCAAAAGTTACTTAACTTCCACGATCACAACCCGATCGAACTAACCACCTGCGTCATTGAGTTCTTAAAATTTTATTTATAACCATAAAAGTTCACCAACCTAACTTGTTCATGTGGCTACTTACAGAATTCCAAACGTCATGTAAATAAGACACCAATCTACCGTGACTTTATCACTATCCTAAGCTAAGGCTCTATTTTAAAGATACCGCTTAATCACACTTATATTATAAAGGCGAAAGTTTGTGAGTGTGTGTATGTTTGTTACTTCTTCACGTCTAAAGAGCTGGAGTGATTTAAATAAAAATTGGTATGGATTTAGCTGACTCCCTGGATTAACACATAGGGTACGCTTTACAGCGAGAAACTATCTATCTATATATATAAAACTCAAAGGTGACTGACTGACATAGTGATCTATCAACGCACAGCGCAAACCACTGGACGGATCGGGCTGAAATTTGGCATGCAGGTAGATGTTGTGACGTAGGCATCCGCTAAGAAAGGATTTTGATCAATTCTCAATTCTCCCCCAAGGGAATAAAATAGGGAATGAGCTTTCATTCCTTGAAAGCCTCATTGTATGAAATTTTGTCTACTGAGAATTTGCATGCAGGTATAAGAAGAATCATAGATGAATGTATAATACAAGCCTGAGAACAAAAACTGTAGCCTACACTTCAGCTCTACACAGAAGCGAAGCGAGGACGGGCCGCTAGTCCCTAATAAACCGCGGGTAACATAATTTATGAATTCTCGCGAAAGTTAATTCGCATATAACTTTTAAGTTCAAGACATATTGGCGCGTGATGTAGCAACCTTCAAGGTTGATTGCCTAATCGGTCTTTGGCTGTGTCGCATCTCGCGGACAGTGTACCTTTGCCTTTCGGCGAGTGCGCGCGCAAACACCTTCGCGTATTGGAAGTTGCGAAAGAGTTCCGCAATAGTTGTTGGGCTGTTCCGATATCCGCTCCCAAGTAAGTCATGCTATAATTTCTTCACGTTTGTCTTTAAACTAGTATTCATTTTCTGTAGAAATATTAGATTTAATACTCAGATTTGCATATCCAATAAAAAATATGATTGAGTTATTACTTTTTTGGTCATAATATTTTAAAGGAAATATTCGTAGGGTCAAGTGTTACAGTGTAACATTAGGAATATCCATTCCCTTTTCTTATTTGTCTATGATCTGTCATGGCGTGTTTTATTTGTTACATATGCCGCCATCCTAAATATCTAGCTAGCTAGACAAATGGCCGGTTTTAATACAGAGATAATCCCGTGCCCCTTATTACACTGCTGCCTCTTACCCTAATGTCCCTAAATTGCATACTGATTGGTCCCTATTGACTTTTAAATCTAAATATCCTTATGAATCCTCTAACTATATCGCCGCCCCAAACCCGGCGCCGCCATTGTAAAGTTCATCTGTTCGTATGGTGTGTAATATATAAAAATACAAAAATCTAAAGTCCAGACCATGAATAAATCTTGTATCGCACAGCAAAAGAAGAAAATATTTCCCTATAATATATATTGTACATATGTATTTTTTTTGTTCCAATAAACCAATTAGCCTAGCCCCAAAGTAAGCACTGTAAGCTTGTGTTATGGGATACTAGGGTAACGGATAGAATACATAATATACTAATACCATATAAAAGTATTTATATACAAATACATATTAAACATCCGTGACTGGATTACAAATGCTCGTATTTATCATACAAACATCTGCCCCCACCGGAACTTGAACCCGGGACCTCTCGAGTAAGTGACACCTTGAAATCCGGCGCACAAACCACTCGGCCACAGATTTGGTCAAATTATAATCAAATTATGTTGCTCAAATTAATTTTGCTGTGGAGATAGCAAATAAGCAAACATACGAAATAACCAACGGCTTTGCAGCTACTGTCATTGGCCTTGGCTTAGAACTCGTCTTTATAAAAATATATTTTGGCGGATCGAGAAGCTTTTTTTTTGTCTCATTATCTACCAATCGTATTGGTAGCTGCTCTCAAATGCCTTAAGTTAAGTAATATATTAATATTTTAACTTTATTCAATTCAAGTTTACTTTTTAAAAGTGCCATTATTTTAACTTAAGAAATTTTAACTAAAAACATTCAACTGATCCATTTATCAGGCTAAAAGCGAAGGATTATTTTCGATATATGATATGCTAGGTATTTTGTTTTTATTTTATTTTGATATTTATTGGTATTTTATAACATTTTTAAGTCTCATGCTGGACTGGGTGCCAAAGTAAAACATGGAGAGAGAAAGAGAGCGGATTTTCCTCTCGATTGTTTATTGTTTTTTTTTTGAGTGTTTATGCTGTTGGTCGCAGATGACTTTTACAGCGTAACCGGAGATCGGGACGGCGAGATCCTAAGGGGACCTCAAGCCGACCTCCTCAGTTCGAGTGGTCTCGAGGCTCCTGACGGAAAGGAGACTCCCCCAGTGAGGAGATTTTTTTTCATCACACACCAATTAGCCTAGCCCCAAAGTAAGCACTGTAAGGCTTGTGTTATGGGATGCTAGGGTAACGGATAGAATACATATACTGTACATATATAAGTATATTTATATAGACATACATATTAAACATCCATGACTGGAGTACAAATGCTCGTATTCATCACACAAACATCTGCCCCCACCGGGATTCGAACCCGGGACCTCTCGAGTCGGCGACACCATGAAAACCGGCGTACAAACCACTCGGCCACGGAGGTCGTCACTGAATGATGCCATCCGCCTGGTATACCTCTAGAGGCACTCGTCAATTCTCGGCTTGAGGTCCCCTTGGGATCTCGCCGTCCCCAAACTCGGTGACGCTGTAAAGGTCATCTGCGACCAACAGCATACACACATTAAAAAAAAAAGCTGTCTGCGATCATCCTTCTAACCTCTTTCTGTGTTCTGTGCTCAAAAGTATATCATACTTATTCCCAAAGTCACCAAGGAGGAGTGACATAAATGTTTTTTAGAACAAGAGCAGTGACACTGAGATAAAATATGAAAAACAAAAAATACTTTTAGACGTGTCAGAGTATTTTCTTTTATTGTAATGATTTTGTAGCACCCCATGTAGAGGACGAAGTGCTACTTTAGCATCGTTCACCTAATGGATAGTGCATCGTAATTATCTGTAATTTAGGAGTAGACAAAGCAACAAACAGGTGCGGCATTAAGAATCAGATAAATATAATAGCTACCAATAAAAATAGTATTTACAACAACCATGATAAGACAAGGTTCCTACCCTTCACATCATCATAATTATTTGATCCGAGCCGTAAATATACGCAGTAAAATATAGCCAGCTAAAACTTTAACACAAAAATAATCTAGCTTACTACTCGATGAAAGAATATAAAATTGTAAACCTTTATAGAGTCTGTGCGGAAAGAGAATGGGATTTAGATTGGAGGGCGCTGTAGTGCTTTTCTACCGTATTTGTAAGGTTTCACCCCTTTTAGACATGATTAAATACAAAAAACCGCAAGAAATCACAACAACAAACAAATCCGTATCAATACAAAACTTTGACGTTTTACAGATTGCTGGGTTTGATTGCCAAATAAAAATGATAATGTTAGTTCCGTTTTTCGCCACGCCCATTCTCTTTCCGCACAGACTCTACGTGAAATATTGAACGAAAGTGTGTATGGAATCGTACTGTAACGTCCGTTACGTTTGTTACGTTACCGGAGGAATGTAACGTCCGTTACGTTACAGCCTCCTTGTTTAGGTAAACTCTTTGTTCTTGCTATGCCTACGGCTGGCAGTTATATTAAAAAGTTAATGTCATGATTTTTAGATTTGAAATAAGGAATCATCTGTCTTTTGATAGAAGGTTCCATACAGCAGATGATCTTCAGGCACCAACTTTTGCGTAGCTTAGATAAAAAAACTTGTATTCGCCTGAAATCAAATAAAATAAATATAAAATCTAGTATCTTTTAATTAGTAGCTACGTCCCTAGGTTCTATCCACTCTGGCTAGACCTCCGCAGTACCTACATTACTGCAGCGGGCCGCGGTAGCATAATTGGTCAATGCATTCGCTCGGATAGCGAAGGGTCGAGTCCCGTCTTCTGCCTGGTCCGCGAGGATTTTTTTCTAGTAATATTTTCTTTAGATTTAAACATCGGAGAGTTACATGCTTAAAAAATAAAAATGATTTACAAGCATGTTTGAGAAAACGGATTTTCTATATACACAACGAAGTCGCGAGTGCCGACAAGTAAAATAAGTAGGTATTTTTAGAAGTACTAGTAAATGACCTAGTGTTCTTCGTTCACCTGGCGACACATTTAACTCGCCCTCCAATGCTTCAGTTCGATAGGACCAGAGTCTACCGCACCAATGGGACGAACGTCAAATGTTTGTCATTTTTACTATCTTCCTCGCAATGTTTCGATATTTTCTCACCTTTTATAGCTTCCCTGAATTACGACAAATAAATATATCTGAGTTGAACGTTTAATAGATATAATAAATCTAGTGTACAGATGGGCATGTTTGTTTACCGCTTGCAACTACTTGTATATTGTGTTTGATAGTTTACTATCATACACCTTTGGAATTTATATGGTGTCTCCATACGCTTGTTGTTTGTTACAAAAGCCAAAAACGTCAAACAAATTGCCAAACGTCAATCACAATCACCCAACACAAACAGGCCTCCTCATGCTTGTGTTGGATGTTTGTGTTGGCTATTAGCCGTCTGCTCGCCAAACGTGTGGAGGCACCGTAACGTAGTTCATGTCTGTCTGTATTTCGTGGATTTGACAGCAAAATTCTAGTTTGGAACGTATAGAATCATGCCAAGATGCTTCAATTAACATGCCAATACATCGTCAAATTAATAAAACCTTTTTTGCTGACATATTCTTTGAAGTAAAGAAAAAAAATCTATAAAAGTAAACCGAAAACATCCAAAACTATTTTTTTTTTTATTTTTTTTCCTGAATCCGAATTTCAAAATCAAATCCAATTCTTAAAATTTCAGGGGTCTAGTGGATGGTAAGGACAGTCAAAAATCGAATAAAACACTTAATTTTTCTATTTTTTTTTGTAACATGTTTGTATATCATGAACTATCGAACTCCACGATATCGCACGACAGTCGCTAATTCATGTTTTTATATTTTGTAGCATTAAACAATTATTTTTTATAATATTGTATTTGAATAAATAGATATTTAGTACCATCAGGTGTTGTTACAAGTGAAAATTATAGACTGGGTTTATTTTAACATTATCTTAAGACTTGTAAGCTTACAAAATAGAAGGAAGTTGGTACTATGTTTCAGTGACTATGTTCAATATTGACTTCGAATATATCAAGGATGTCTTAAGAAGAAGCCATATTATATTTTTCGTCAACTCATATCGTGGGTGATGTCCAATTGTCCAGTTACCTTATAAGGTTTGCAGTGGTATCCACTTACTTATAAATTTATTTCAAAAAAATTGTGTTATGATTGGTTTTGTAAAAACTAAAGTTCACCTTACGATCATCAAATAACTTACCTAACCTCAAGATCACCATACACTTATAAAAAGTGTATATTTCTCACTATATTCAATCGTTTAAAAAAAATAGATTTTTTGTTATTCCTTTAAACACTATATTTTTTTCAGCGAATAAATTGTTTAATTTTTATTGTAATTTTTTTAACCTGTATAAAATTGCCGAATTTGAAATTGATAAATTGACTGGGACACGTGTTTGAAGTTGTATTAAATAACCACGTGTCCAAATAAGCACGTGTTCCAATGAACTCTGCGACTTAATTTCATTCACGATCAGCAGAGCCGACCTCATCCTCTTTCGAAAACGACTTGGTCTAGCATTCACACTCTGTCAAAGTGACTTTTTGGCGCGTAAAATTTAAACTGTGGAACGGATTCCCTGTTTATATTTCATTAAAAGCGCGAAGAAATTTCTACAGAATCGGA